TGGGTAAATGTCATTTATAACTTTAAAATGGACTTCCTTAACTTTAGGAGGAAGAGGAAAAGATAAATATAGGAAGTCCATCTATTTACAGTTTTCTTCAAGGCCTTCGCTCTCCCCCTGCTGACCTTCAGCTGAGTCACAGGCATTCAGACAAAATCCTCAGCTAATGTCATTCAAGTGTTTTATTRTGTGTTGTAAAATATGTTTCAGACATGTAACTAGACTTATTTCAATTAAGACATAATAGATTAAACACTCAATATTTCAAAGAGGAGAACTTAAGAATATAGTGTGCTTCTAACATCAGTACTAACCTCCCTAACTCTAAATTTCTTCACATACCTATAAAAAGTAAAATCATAAAACTGTTCATTTTAAAGTGGTCTGTTGATTTTYCCCACGTGTTACTATATATAAGTAAAGGGATTTAGGACTGTCACAAACTATTTTTATTGATCTATTGAATGAATGACATACATTCCACCAAAAATTATAAATCAGTTTTATTTTTAATTTTATTTGTCATCTCTGGTGTTTATAGTGTATCAAAAACTGTTAACGGATTTGCAAAGTTGAAAGTTTCAGCATTACCAGGACAACTAGAAAAAATGAAAGTAAATGTTAAAAAAAATCTGATCTGTGTATTATTGTGTCTGCTAAACTGAGGACACCAGGTGAAGCAGCAGGTGTTTTGCTCAAGGGCACAACAGGCTGGCTGTGCTGTCATCACGCTGCTCTCCACAACAAGCCTGAAGGTTCAGCATGTTGTATTGTTGGTGAGAGCTGCATCAAAATAAGGAGGAAAAACATGTTTCAGGAATTAAATGTGGTGCAGCTGACACGGGACCAAAAAGTTGCTGGGTCAACTCCCCACCATGTGCACATGTGTCATTGAGCAAGACACCTAWTCCCTAATTACTCCACTCAGGTGTATCTGATGATGGGTCAAACACAKCACACATTTTATCATCATGTCAGAACATACATGATAAATAAAGTACAGAATAATCACAGCTGTATCTTTAGAAACATACAAACATGTAACAGAATGAAAACTAGAACATTAAACTGTATAAATGTGTTTATTTCATGATGCTGTGTATAATATGGAAACTAACTGCAGTAGATTTTAAGATTTATTAAACTTCAGCAGCTCTATGTGTAACTGTTTAATAGATGAGACAAGACAGTCCTTTCTGTGAGCTGTGCTTAAATGAATACAGATCAACATCATCTGCATGGATCTTATTCAGTATGGTTCAGTCATTTCATACTGTTCTTGAACAGGAGTGGTGGATTGTCWGTAAAACAGATGAGGTCAAAGCAATGCTTTTATTTTGAAGGTCATCCTTTAAATGGATCTGCAAGAATGATAAGGCAACTCAGTGAAAAATCTAAAGATATAATATTACAATTATATAATAAAATTTGGGAGGAGGGAAAATTACCATTGAACTGGAAGGAATCAATTATAATACCAATAGCCAAACCAGGAAAAGATAATTCAAACCCAGAAAACTACAGACC